TCGATTAAATTAAAGGGGACTTTTAAGAAGTTTCCTTAATAATATTTTTTGTGGAAATATTCTGGGATTAATCTCGCTCTAGCATTTACAATAGCCATCAACATATAGGCCTAGCTGTTTGTGTATTTTCAGCACTTAATGGTTATAGTGCGCACGTGCTGTCACCACTTAAGTACTTTGGAACACATAGTACGATGACAAAAATATAAAAGTTGTAATAAAATATTTGATCGAATAACACTTAAATGTTTGCATTAAATTTTTTTTTTTTTAAAATCGAAAGCCACAATTAATATGTTGACAACATCTTCTTTATTTACTGGGTCCTGATCCTTATATAACTAATTGAAAACCGCGCAAAAACTCACTCAAAGCAATTGGACAGCAATATGTGTATGCATTTCTTTTCGTTTAGGGCCTGTATGTCACATTAAAAACATAGCAAAAGTAATTAACTAATATAGAATATTTACAAATTAAAGAGTTTAATTGTTTTATGTCACTTATGATTATTTAAGACATCTAAAACAATATGAATGTTTGCACCAAAAAACAGAAAGTGTGATAAGGAGATAAGAAAATGTATAAGATATTCATATAGACATTTATGTTCAGAGTTCACCTACATGTTGATAGTAAATGAATACAGAGTGATAGTGTATTCTAAAGATAGTTAGCATATCGCATTACTATTAAATGAATTTTTTATAACAAATATGTAATTTGTTTCATATGAATAAAGTGTGTGAAAATTAATTAATATTTTAATGATAATGAGGGAAGTGAAAATAAAAGTTGATCTTTACAATTGTTATAAGTATTATTACTGTGATTCACAAATCACGCGATTAAAATATATATATATATATATATATATATATATATATATATATATATATATATATTAATATCGTAAAAAAATTTAATATTTAGTAACAATTAATTATTTTTTTTTAATGTATTTCAATGGACACTTGAATTTCGCCTAAACTTTCATTAATTTCTCTTTTAAATGTAGCATAATACAATTTAATTCAGTTATACGAAAGTTATTCCATCTCTTTTTTAATTATCAAAATATTTCTGGGGCACTCGCGCCTTTAATTTTTCAAATCCTTCCTCCCCCTCCCCACAACGGTTTTATTGACAAACCGACACTTTATCTATAAGCAGCTGAACGGAATACATGTCAAACCGTTGGGACTGAAGAAAAAAACTTTTATTTGAAGGTTTAGCTAGTGTTACAAAAGTATTGCGTTCTTGGTCGGGTTAGTGCAAATGTGAGTGACGTTTTATGCAGGCGTCACTTGCAAAAAACGCATAATGTTTTTAGTAGGTTGCCATCCAGTAATTGTGTCAACAAGATAGGGAGGATGAGGGTTTGGAAATGTTTGACAGTTATTGTCAAAGGGAGGGAGCGGGGTTAGATTAATTGAAGTCAACAATCATGTTTTCCCTATTAAATTAAAATTGACTGTTTATTACATTATTTTAAAAAAAAATAATGAGTGTAAATAATCACATCGTTTTTAGGTGTCAAGTGCAGTTAGATAAATAATATTGTTAGAGTAGGAATACGATATTTAGAGAAATAGGGGAAAAGTAAAATAAGCAACAATAATAACATTGCTGCTTGAACGGATTTGCAAAATCTGTAACATCTGTTTTGCATCACGGTCATGTTGAAAAAGCAAGTTCAACATGCATAAGAAATCACCACCTGCTCCACAACAAAAAAAGTTTCCCCCAATACGAGAAAATGCATGGACTCTGAGAGATCTCACTGCAATTTTTCTCACACGGACAATGCTTCTATTTTAAGTGCTAAATAGCTAGATGAGGATGATAATGACTTGTCTAGTTTATCAGTTCCGCAAGGTGAAAGTGATAAATCAGCTACTATTGACCTGGTCCATCAAGGGCGTCATTTTAGAAGCTTTTCAGGGAGGAGGGGGGCAAAACCGAAAATTAGTCGGCTTGTTAAGTTGTTTACTACGGGAGGCGCCACAGTACATATCAATTTAAATAAAACTTGCTAATTAAGTGAGAGGTGGTGGCAAATGACCACCTGCCCTACCCAAATGATGTACATGATGCCCATTTTTGCGATAGAGCAACACCTGGCTACTCCATGGGAAGATAATAGTAGTTAGAAACTGTACTATAATTTTTAGCTTTACTGAAAATAGTCATATTTATATTTCAATAAACAATGATATTTAGTCTTAAATAACCTTTTATTTGATTATGTGTTATAAAATTGAAGTGTAAAAACGTTTTAACTTGATTAATAAGCTAAATACGTAATGAAAAGTTTGTCCTACAATGTTGTCTGATTAAAGTAGATCAGTACAAATTTAAATACTCAATCAGCAGTTCCAGTCGGTCTTTGGTGACGGTAGAGAGTACTCTGAGACTGAGTTCCTTCTGAAAACCAAAATGATGAACAGAGCCTATCCTATCATGGGAGATATCCAGATATCAGAACAAGGTGTGTTTGCCCTCCTCAATACCATTAATCCTTACAAAGCATGTGGTCCTGACCACATTAAACCACGAGTGCTCAAAGAATTAGCCAAAGAAATCGCTCCTGCACTGACAATCCTCTTCCAATCGTCACTATGCACAGGAAATGTTCCAGCAGACTGGAGAACAGCGCATGTCACTCCAATTTACAAGAAAGGGGAGCATTCCGACCCTGCCAACTATCGTCCGATATCCCTCACTAGCGTCGTCTGCAAACTGTTGGAGCACATAATCGTAAGCTCTGTCATGAAGCATCTTGAAAGCCAAAATATACTCAATGACTGTCAACATGGCTTCCGAGTCAATAGATCATGTGAGACCCAGCTTCTCGAATTTGTAGAAGACTTGATGACCAATCTGGAGAACCACAAGCAGACTGACGTGCTAGTAATGGACTTCGCAAAAGCATTTGACCGGGTGAATCATAGTTTGCTTCTACACAAACTCCAGATATATGGGATTCAAGGCACCACTAAAACATGGATCTCTAGCTTCCTCAGCCACCGACGCCAAGCAGTAGTGGTGGGCGGTACAAGCTCCTCCTTTGTCAATGTGAAGTCAGGGGTCCCCCAGGGATCAGTCCTGGGCCCCTGTTTGTTCCTAGCATACATTAATGACCTACCGGAGAAACTGACATCACAGGCAAGACTGTTTGCAGATGACACAGCAGTGTATAGGACGATCGCCAACAGATCTGACCAGGACCAGCTACAACAGGATCTCAATCTGTTAGCTGAGTGGGAGATGAGCTGGGACATGGAATTTCACCCTGCCAAGTGCCAGACACTATCAATCTCTAGAAGTTGTACTCCTCTACACTACCAATACAAACTGCACGGCCATATTCTTGAGCAAGTTTCCTCCGTAAAGTACCTGGGTGTTACCATTCAAAGAGAGGTCCGATGGGACGAACATATTAACAATGTATGTAACCAAGCAAACAAGACCCTAGGGTTCTTAAGGCGAAATCTAAAGATTGGCAACTCCTGTGTGAAAGAAAGAGCATATAAAGCCTTTATCCGTCCGATTTTAGATTATGCATCTTCAGTCTGGGACCCATTTACCCAGAAGAGCATTGACAGGTTGGAGGCGGTCCAGCGACGAGCAGCACGCTTTGTCCTAAACCGCTACAGGAATACCTCAAGTGTTGGCAGCATGCTAGAAACACTAGGCTGGTCACCATTGGAGAAACGACGACGACAATCCAGGCTCTCCATGATGTACAAGATAAATAATGGGCTGGTCCACTGTTCCAGTATTAAACAGAAACTCGTCCCTCTCCCCCATAGACAGCGACGAGGCCATGACAGGCAATTCAGGCTCATACCAGCAAGAAGCCAGTATAGGAGCTGCTCATTCCTGCCCAAGACAATCAGGGACTGGAACAATCTTTCAAAAGGAACGGTTGAGGCGACAACACTAGACACATTTGTGTCTATTGCCTCAAGCCTTCAAACCCCCAGTGCATGATTCCCTCACAAAGTGGCACTGGAAATCTGTGAAATTTCCTCATCAACACCAGGAACAGAAACATTGCAAATCCCATCTACATGCATAGGAGCCAAAATGATCAATAAATTGATCGTGGGCCCTTAAGATATAGAAGAAGAAGAAGAAGAAATATATTTATACATTTATTTATATTTTAATTCATTTTTTTGGTAAGGGGGGGGGGAGTGTTTATAAATTGTTGACATAGTTAATGGATGATTCCTGAAGGTTGGTAAACTAAAAGACGCCCCGGGTAGCACAAAACAGCTCTAGGGAACTGCTAAAATGTCAAGAGTTTGTTAAAGGTTATGCGTTTATAAAACTACATTAATAACTTTTATCATTTTCTTTTTTTTTTCAGAACAAAATGGCAGTACTCCTTTTGAGATTACTTTCTTTGTTGACTATTATTGGTAGGTTTGGATTTTATGGAACTAAAAGCTTTAAATATTTGTTAATGTCTATTTATACATTTTAAAAAAATAGCGATACAAAATGTAACATTATAAAGTAAAAATATACACGGATTAAAACAACTAGTTTCTATTTAAATAAAACATACCATTCAAATAATAAAAATGAAAATTCTACGAGAGCGTATTTGAATATTCAAATACTACTAAATTCACCCCCTCTCTCTCTCTCTCTCTCTCTCTCTCTCTCTCTCTCTCTCTCTCTCTCTCGCGCGCGCTCTCTCTCTCTGTCTCTCTCGTTGTTTTTCGCTCGTTCTCTCACTCTCTTTGTCTCTCTATTTGTTCCAACTCCTTTTTTTGTGTGTTCTTTCTTTCTCTCACTCACACCATCTCTTCATCTGAAGATATATTTCAAACCTTACAAAAGTGTAATTATCACATATTACTGATTTGATCTTTCAGATGTCTCTTTAAGTATATGGTCGATGGCTGGAAGAACTCACACTTTTAAGGTTTCTTTAAAGAATAATGGCTACGTTACTAATATAAATTGGATCTTTCAAAATGGAAATAGAAATACTACTTTATTTCTATGTAGTTCAGCTAATGTTATGAGATGTGATGCCGTTGACGATACAACTCTCGACCTTTACTCAGCAAATATTACATCAAATTCATCATCAATTATAAGTGTATTCACAATCAAGAATGTCAGCCTTTCTCTACACAATACAGGATGGTTCTATACTGCTGAATTTAATGCAAACATTAGCTTTCATGAAACATCCGGATTTTTCCTTCACGTATTTAGTGAGTTAAAAATAGTGGAATTAAGCAATGTATACCATATTAGAATTATAAAATCCTATCAGCATAACATAATTTTTTTAGAAATATATGAAATATTACATATTAATTCATAGTGATTGAGAGATTTTCTTTTATACCATTCAAAATTGTATATTTTTATTTTAATAAAGCCCCTGCTGAGAGTCCAACATGTGATGAAGTAAAACTACTAAATGAAAGCAATATTCAAATAACTTGTTGGACGAAAAAAGTTTTTCCTGGAAGCGTGTGTCTATTTAATGTCAATTCCAATGTAAGTATTTTAAAACAAATTTTTTCACACCAAGTCTATTTAATTTCCTGTTAGATACCTTGTATGTGAAGGGTGTTTGGGTTTTATGGAGGGGGTATTTTATTTAAAATATAAACATCTACATAGTGCAAATTTATTCAAAACCGCCTAAATATTACATATTAACTCTTTTAACGAGTTATACAATCCCTAATTTATTATATCTATTAGGCAATTTACCTTTTGATCAGTACGAACACTTTCCACATAAAAAGTTATGTCTGAGAAGAATAACTTTGATAATTAAATGCAATCAATAGGATCGATTTACAATCTTCTCAACGTCTAACTAGTTTGAGTGGCGTAGCAAAGGTCGATGCCAGTGACCGGTAACGCTAAGTGGGCGCCTAAATGGGCGCATTGTAACAACAATAAATATATTGGATTATATATTGAATCCATTAGTAGACATTTTTGCATTCACTGAGAGACCTTTTGCTATTACTTTACTGTATCTGCCTGTGTGTATCGTCTCGCGTGGTATTTAACTGCTGCCTAATAATTCTAGGACACTTTTAATGGCGGTCACTAAAACTGTCATAATAACTTGTGTCACGCGTTTGCCTTTGATTGGTCGAATCGAACCACGTTTGCCGCTTTATGAATGTTAAGTGTACAGATTAGCATCCTGCGAGTCCTTTTTTAGGAGCTTATTGGCTGCATGCGAGCAGAGCATTTTTTGATTTTTTCTTCTTTTAGACGAATGTTTATTATTTATCTTCATGATAAAGGTCATTAGTTAGTGCTTTTTATATACCAGATGTAAAAATATAGATTAATGTTTTCATTTTGTTTACTGTTTGTAAACTTAAATGTTTTCTGCAACAGCTATTTGATTAAATAACTTACACTTTATTCGATAAACGAATAAGAATTGTATAATTTTGAATTTTTTTTTAAATATTGATTTATCACATCATTAATTTTACCCCCCAAAAACCAAGCTTGAAAATCAAACATTATTTTTTTGTTCATTGCCTCCATGACATGAGAAACTCTGAGGTGCTGAAAGGCGCAATTGAAATAGAGAAGCAACAAACGAAGAAGAGAAAGCGAGCCAGTAAATGAAAAACGTATTTAAAAAAACGTACTCAAAAGTTAATCAAATTAAAAACAAGACATTAGAATCACAAGAAGGTGTTCCGGAGCCAGTGTCGAATTTTTCCCAGAAAACAAGGATGTTGAAGTTTAAATTAATCAAGATGAAAAAGACAAGGACCATGTGCAAAAAATTTCACGTGTCTGAAAATTTCCGGTCAGATGTTGCAAGCGAAACATATTATAACTCTGAGTCGACTCAACACAGTGCTTATGATAAAAAAGAAGAAAATAAAGTTATAAATAATAAATTTCCGGAAATTAATACACATACAGCTAATGATAATGATGCCGAAGTGCCTCTAATAACTTAAGCTGTACTTCTGTTTTATGCATCCTCTTATTAATTTTGTGTCATGCTATTATCAACATCATTTTCGAATTGTTAATCTTCGTTTGAAAAGGCTAATGCAGGCCTGAATAACTCATAGTGTAAAGAAGGCAATAATACTTTTTAAAAAAAAAACTTGTGCAGATCGAAACAAAATAGTAAAATGGGGTAAGCTATGAAGAAAATAATAATAATAATAATAATAATATTTTGTTACTTCACGGGCCGCAAAGAAGTTGCTTGCAGGCGGCATGTAGCCCGCAGGCAATATTTTGTGCAGTCCTGAGTATATGGATTTGATATCTGGAGACACACTGAAAGATTAAGGGATCACGAAAATAGCAGTAGTGATCAAACATCACTTCATGATCATCATGTCCCCTAGTCCTTGGACCGTTGGGGCACCACAAATGACATGTGAACTATTCTCCTACATTCGTCTCTACCTTCTGCACTTGGCAGAGCATCGCCAAGTGTTAGTCTTGTCCACTCGTTGATGTTATCCTCCGATCTTTTTCTTCGCCTTCTTTGTCTTCTTCTTCTTCTCTCTCCTCTTGAGGTGCCCTGCAATATTTCTTTGGCAAGCCATAGTTTCCTTGTTACGTGGCCGTGCCATTGTGGTTAACGTTTTTTCACAGTCACCAGTAGGTCATCGTACTCCCCAATTGTCTGGCGAACCCTTTCTTTCATTGTATCATTGGAGATATGGTCCCCATGGAAGCGGCCAACAATGCTTCTGAACATCAATTAAATAATTGAAAAAGACAGAAAGAAGGATAATTCTTGGAATAGGAATTGTTATGGAAGTTGAGAGTCAAATACAATTGGAAAAAACAATTGAGGTGTCTTGAAAAGAGTGCTTACTTGAATTAAGTTTTTAGAATCTCAATTTTTTTCTTGCCACTGCGCGGTTATAAGGAAACTTTAATGATGATAAGGCATTTAAAGTTGGGAATTTACTAATTCTGGAAAAGTCATTGCACAGTACGATCCTCTTTTTGCACGCTATCAACTATCAACATGCAAGACAAAATCAAAGATCTATTTCATAATTATCACTGGAAATCAAAAATAAATGTTTATGTCTTCTAGCTTCTGCTGGCAGGAAAATGTCACTGAATGATATCAAAAGGAAGACAATATTATGGAAATCTAATTTATTCAACACCTGTTCAAGGACATCGAGGAACAGTTTTTGGAGGAAATTTAATTTTTCTATGTTGATTTTGTGACAAAAAAGTAGTCATCAAGAATCATTTCTGAGTTATATTGAAATACATGTAACAGATGAAGCCAACGTTGAAAAGCTCAAGTGTAGCAACTGTGAATCTTACGATTTACTTTATGATGATTGTGAACACGACCAAATTTTCTTTTCTAGTTTGGGCTAAAACCGAAACCAGACCGAAAATTAAAAAAAAAATTGCGACCAAAACCGAAACCGAAACTAAAAGCTTAACGAGACTTTCGGCGAAACTTAAACCAACAGTTAAAGAAGCCTTTCAGCCGAAACCGAATAATGTAAATATTTGAAAAAATAGTTTGTACACACTTTCCGCAATCCGCGAAACATGACTTATTAACATTGTGGAGAATTGCGTATTTCTTTTAATTTACTCACACACAATATCCATAAAGTAGTTAACCCCACAAACACCCCACATTTTTTTGAATTGTCACTTTGACCACCAGTAAACTAAAACGTCTTAATTACTTTTTTAAAGCCTTTGAAAGTATGGGACCGAAACATCCTACCATCAAATTGAGTCTGGATTAACTTTGAAATCGCCTACTTACCATTACTACTTCATTGTTTTTATTCAGCTTGTCACCACATACACATACACATACACACAAGCACAGACACATACGCAAAAACCTGACGGAACAAATAAATTCTACCATTCTTTGTATCTTTGCCCTGAACAATCTATATGAGACAATTAATGTTCTGTAATCCTAATGTTACAACTAAAGTGTGTTATCAAGCCATTCTATAAAAAAATCAAAGGCAAAGTGTATAATGTCTTATGTAGTGTACATGTTGACTAGGGTTTCATTAAAATGGCTAGATTATAAACTTTTAAATATTAAATCAAGAACAATAATATAAATATTACCATTTCTCTAGTCGTTATTGATTTTCTCTCACACAAGTATTTACATTTCCCTATGCCTTATTGAAATTTCACTATTCGAATGATTCGACAAGTGAGTCATTTTGCAGCTGTGAACAGTGTTTTCATAAGATTTGTTTCACAATGTACGAAAACAGCAACACATCAAGCAATAATGAATACTAGATATTGCCGCCTAACATTGGTGGCAGCAATGCGTGAACTTGCCATCTAAAAAATATAACTCAAACAAGGCACATTTATAAATCCCCATTTTAGCTACACCCCTTCCCCCATGATACGCCACTGCACACTTTTTACTTCACGCCCATGAACTATAGCGAAGCGTTGCTATGTTCGCAAAGAAAGCGGGGAAAGAACGGCCACAAAAAGTAGCAAGAAGAAATCAGAACAACGCGAGTGAACGTGATTCAAAGAAGAGAGCACTGAGACACACCTGTTAGCAAAGCAAATCAACCAAAGTTGAGCTGGTTCAGAGCTTGTTGGGGTGTGCGCATGGCTGGCAAGCAAGGTTGGTGCATTAGAGGGGGCCGTAGCTCCACCGCAGTGCTCATGTATCAAGACAACGATGAGCAGGTAAGGGATGGGGGAGGGTTTGCGTGCGTCTTGCTTCCTCTGGCACATCTATATACAGCCTGCGTGGGCGCCTTGGTCTTCTTGCCCTAGTTTCGTGTGCGAATTATATATATAGATTGTATTGCCAGCCGATAGACAAGGTGGCAATCTGAAATCTGTTAAAATAACGCAGTCTAAATCATCTTCAGCCCCATGGCCTAAAATCTTAATTACTTTCGTCCGTTACCAAAAATAAACAACACTTAAATTTTCTGTCTCGCCGAAATCCGCAATTAAACCGAAAGTTAACTTTTATCTTTCTGCCGAAAACGAAACTGGTATGATATTTTCGACGGCTAAACCGAGACCATAGCTGAAATTGGTCAGTTCTAATCTCAATACTCATATAATGTGTCTGTGATATGTTGGCTAATAGCATACCTGAAATTGTAATATCATTGCTGTACGTGTACGGAAAGGGGGGGGGGGCATGAAGGGCGCACATATGTTTTTTTCTCTGGGCACCTTATATCATCGCTAAGCGACTGACTAGTATATTTTATTAATTACATGATATATTTTCTTTTTTACTTATTTAACAATTATGTTTTTCATATAAATATTCTACGATTATTTTTTACGAATGTATTTCTTTCTTAATTCAAATTAATTTGAGTCAGGATTTTTCTATTTGTCAAAGCTTTCTTCAATATCAAGTCTATTGGTAATACCCAATCTGATTTCCGTTATCGATATTATTGTGTGTTTCAATCAGATACATACGTTTTGTAAATATCATATAATTTGACTCTTCCCTTTGTTATAGTTAAAATTATTTAAATATATATGTTACCGGCAATATGCGAAATCCGGCATTATATAGAATGCCTAGGTATTCTATAGAATGCCTGAAAATTGTAGGCAAAGTATGAAATGGTTTATATTTCACACATGTCCTAGGCATTTTTTCTAATGCCTAAGAGCGACCCGGCAATGTATAGAATACCCCGCCATTCATGTTTGATTCTTTGCTTGGTGGTGGCGTTGCGATCGTGACACACGTGTTTCGTACTCCTGCCAAAGACCCTACCCCTTTTGTTTCAAGATGGCTGCTGAAATGTAGGAAGATCAGATTGTAGCTTCAGATCAGGACTCACAGTATGTTTACATGCAACGGTGGTTCTACGATGAACTTTCTCAATGACGAGCCAATACTGCTAAAAACTGCGGTTCTCTAGCGGCAACTAGTTACCAAAAATTAGTGGATGATGTGAAAATGGATCGGATGACAAATCAGAAGAAACCAAAAGAAAATTTGCTGCTGAAACGCTATGATGTAATGGCGGTAGAGAACAAAAGTAAGTTGATCTATCCGGTTAAAGAAGGCGACAGCGCTATTCAGTTCTATGTCAAAAATTCTGAATTATTTGACGTACTTCACGAGGCTCATTTGGCCGTGGGACATGGAGGAAGGGACAGAATGTTGAAAGAACTTTCACACAAGTATAAGAACATTACATGTAATGATATTGAACTTTACCTCCACCTTTGTGAGCCGTGCCAGAAGAAACAAAAAGATGTCACAAAGGGTGTTGTGGTGAAGCCTATGATTTTTTGTGAATTCAACTCCCATGGTCAGGTCAATCTTATTGATTTTAAATCCCATCGTGACAGGGAATATACATTTATAATGGTGTACCAAGATCATCTCACAAAGTTTGTGGTTCTGAGGGCTTTAACATCCAAGAGCGCGGAAGAGGTAGCCTACACACAAGTAGAAATATTTAAATTGCTTGGCGCTCCATCAATTCTACAGTCTGATAATGGCCGGGAATTTACCAACAATGTGGTGAACAGCCTAAAGGAGTACTGGCCCAAGTTGAAGATCGCCCATGGTAAACCGCGCCGCTCACAAAGCCAGGGCAGTGTCAAAAGAGCTAATCAAGACATCGAAAACATGCTATGTGCTTGGATGCAAGATGAAAAAACTGACCACTGGGCTGAGGGATTACGATTCATGCAACTTATGAAGAACATGGCCTTTCATTCTGGGATCAAGAGAACGCCTTATGAAGAACAGGGCCTTTCATTCTGGGATCAAGAGAACGCCTTATGAAGCTCTATTTTGCTGCAAAGCTAAAGTGAGCCTTGAAACGTCCTCCATTCCCCTTGACGTTTTAAAAGACATACAGACTGAGAAAGAACTCGAAAAAAAATAATAGAAATCGTAAAAACAACACAGCAAGGAAGAAGCAAATCGTCAGATGCACGATACAGAGCCTGCTATACAGAATACTGAAGAGAATGCAATCAGTAATGGATGAAACCAAACTGATTGTGACGTCATGGTTACCGAAGAGCATTCCACTTCTGATGTTTCTTGTGTCTGCTTAAAAGAAAGCAGTGGTGCCCATACGTGCCCAAACTGTCACCGTAATGTTCATGTTATCTGTGGACATGTTGCTAAAGACGATGGAGACGAGGAAATAGAAGGTTATGGTGTTGGCATTTTGTCCAGCATGTGTTACAAGATAAAGAGAGCTAAAGAGGCTAGAAAAGAATCTAAATCGAACCTTGAAATCCAGGCCCAAAGAATGAAAATAAACTCTGACAAAAAGTTCCCGCCTGCACCCTTGGAAGTTGTTACGACAGAGACAGAAAAAGGCTTTTCTCGACTTGGAACTGCACAAGGAATCTTGAAATAATTGTATTCGAGATCACAATTCGCTGTATGTCCACAAGATTTATTGAGAGTTGAAGACGTCCCGGCCCATGAAATACATATGCGATCTGCTGATATCTCTCAGTCAACAGGAAGCGGTCAAGGCTACGTGAGGTGTATGTGCAAGACCAGGTGCCAAAACAGGAAGTGTCTTTGTTTGAAAAAGAAAATTAAGTGCAATTCAAAATGCCACTCCAGCCTTACTTGCTGCAACAAGTAGCTCAATGACACCTTTGCTTTCCAGTTGTATTGCTATCTTTCGTATTCAAATGTGTTTTCCAATTTAAAAAAAATTTCTTTAATCTCTTTTGAAACTTTGCCTGAAGTATATTTCTCATTATATATAATACCCAGGCCATGTATAAACTGCCTAGGCAAAGTATGTAACTTAATCACGAAAATAAAATATTTCATACTTTGCCTAAAACTGCCAGGCATTCTTTATAATGCCTAGGCATTCTATTTAATGCCTGTATTTCACACATTGCCGGTAGCAATGTGATTCTGTTGAATCAATCAATTGTCATAAAATATGATGAATAAGAAAAAAATTAAACGCTACACTACCCCTTTTGTTGTTTTTATGTATTTATTTATTTAGGCATTTTTATATAGCGCTTACCTTAAAGCTCTAAGCGCTTTACAATTATTAAAAACATGTAAACTAAGTAAAATAAAAATGAAAAGCCAGAGACACTAGGATAGTAACTACTATACTATAGAAAAAATTAAAATGGTTATATAACGAGTACACTTTGGAACGTGTTGGCCTGTACTACAAGCCCAACCTGAGACAGAAAATGAGGCAGGGCAAGGAGGGTGCATCACAGGTCATAGGCGGACCTAAACAGATGCTGCATTTAATCAAAATATGCATGCACAACAATTCAAATTAATCAATCAATCAATATTTACACTCGTACAACAACAAGGCATTCAAATCATACTTATTATACCTAATAAATAAAGCAAAGGGAAGTAATTTCTATAACAAAAATTTAAAAAACAATTATCGGGTTATCACCCCTTAATTCTTATAAGCCTTTGCTCCTATGGCCCATTCAAAAGGCGAATTCAAATTGCGCCTGCGCGCCTTAGACAACGGGTCCATTTCCTTCATACTATACTACTTAAGGTTTTAAACTTTTATAGTAACCTTCAAAGTTTACTTTATTATTTCTTTCCATTGAAATAGTTTATGTTGAGTTTTGTGGGTAAGTACATTGTGTAAAAAAATAAAAACTTTTGGATGTACTTTTTTCCCATTATTTTTTCTTTAACTACGATTTATTAGAGATAAAATTGGTTTTAAATCTCATAAAAAATAAAAGTTTTGTTTTGAAGAAAAGAATATAGCATGTGACTAAAAAAAAAAAAAGTTATCTCATTTAAAAAAACCCTGAAAGAAGCCCATTAAATTCAAATGTTGACACAATTCGTCTCTTTGCAACGAAAACGCAATTTGGTAATGTACCTTATTATCGATTGAAAGTTTTAATCGTAGTAGTACAATTAATTGAAACAATATTACAAGAGAAATATTTGAAAAAAGGATGAAAACAAAAATTTTAACTTTCATTAAATTCTGGAAAGACATAAGAAAATCGGACCATAAATAATATCAACTAAATAAACGATTTTTATAAATGAAGTGTGCACAATAAAGATTAATATGTGCTCTTCATTGTATTCTGTGTTTATTTTGTTGCGTTATTACTTATCCACAATCATTCTAAGCCGAGCGCATTTTTTTCCAGGTTACCCCTCACGGGTTTTGTATAGATAATACATAGGTTGTCAAATTCCAATATTTGTTGAAGAATCTATAGACACACGCATGGGCGCCCGCAGAAAAGTTTCTAGTGGTGGCAAAAAATAGATTAACTTACCANTACGGGGGGGGGGGGGGGCGAAAAAATTTTAGTAATGTTTTAATTTACTGTAGCGTATTTGTATGGTGAACGAACGAACAGGACATCAGCTTAGTTACTTTCTTTTTATTTTCTCTTTACTTTAATAAATTGTTTGTCTATTTCTGTATAAAAAAAAATTATCCAAACAATCCAGAGGGGGGCAAGTGCCCCCTTTGCCCCTACCTGCGGGTGCCCATGGACACAGGAACTTCCTGGTTCCTTAAAAGTCAATTTGTCTTTAGCCTCTTCTGACGTGACACTATGCGGTCCAATGGATTTTTTCCGCTGTATTTATTGCGTAGTACAGTGAAACCCAAGGGGCCGTCCACAAAGTACGTCACGCTCCAGGCGGGGGGGGGGGGGGGGGGGGGGAAGAAAGGGTGACAGCTTGGGACAGGGGGGGGGGGGTGTCGGGCCATGTGTGAGGGCACACGTTTGTTTTTTTTTAAAATTCATTTTTTATTTTTTTTTTTGGGGGGGGGGGGAGGAGGTGTAAGAAAGTGTGACAGCTTGTGACAGGGGGGAGGGGGTGTCAGGCCATGTGTGACGTCACACATTTGTTTTTTTTTAAAATTCATTTATAATTTATTTTTTTTTATTTTTTAGTAGAATTTAATAGCTTTAAAAATAATTTTATAAAATTTTGTGAAACATTCCAATTAGTTTTATGTCAAAATAGCATGAAATGCGTATCTTCTGAATGTGTTGTTCACAATTCCTTTCGCTAGGAGCGCTAGTATGCTGTTGTGAAGCCTTACTTTCGTCATGCCTGAATTATTATTTTTCCATGATGTGATGTCCGCTGCATAAATATGTCACTGTCCTTTTTATTATTTAATCACTGGGTGAGGTCAAATTTCGCAAATCTACTTCTAATCCTGTTTAAAAGATTGCATACTCGGAAGATTATCTAAAACTTAACCTCACCTTTTGTAAATGAAAAAGCAGCATTAAATGATCAGCATTATATAATTGTCTAGTCTAACTTTTGCAATTTTTGTTTTCAAATTAAATCTAGATTGAGTTACTGTTTCAATGAATAATTGTGACAACTATTGACAATTAACTATTCTATTATTAAAGTCATTTTAATAATGTGATATTTATTTTAAGTGTAAATTTTATATTTTAATACAGTTTAACAGTGAAGTGTGTTTTAGAATTAAATTTTAATTAGGTGTTAATTGTGACGTACTTTATGGGGGGGGGGGAGGCGGGTCCGAGATTTGTGACAGTTTGTGACATGGGGGAGAGGGGTGTAAAATGGTCAAAAATAGCGTGACGTACTTTTTGAAGGCCCCAGAGGTAAATGCAGCTTTGACTTGTGAGGTCGCAAGTTTGTAAGCAAGGCATTTCGACATATTACACAAATTAAATATTAAAAATAAATTTCAATTCAGATAAGATATTTCTAAGCCATGGTGCAAAGTATTATCTATCTTGAGTAATTATTGTTGGTAAAGGCTTCTGAAAAATATATTTGATGGCGCTTAGTGAACTTCATTGTTTTTTACATATACCTTAATTTTTAAAAGAATGATTTACTATTTAGAAAGGTAAAATGTTAGAATTTGACGTTGGCGCTTGGGAATACTTAATTTCAGAGAGGGCACCGACAATATACATATTATATCATCTGCTGTGGTTGATTAAAATCTTTAAGTCACAAACATGGAAAAGACAAATGGGAACTGTGGAATAAATATATATGATACAATGGGAATGGATATATATATTTTTTTAAAATAATGTTTTCTTATGATACAAACAAAATAATCTATTCGCAAAGATAAATAATCGCATATCATTCATGTAAGTATTTTTTTCTTCTGATATTTTAAGTTTTATTTGGCTTAGCTTACATTTAATTTCACATCTCTGGCTACTTATCTTCCATTTCTATATATTGAAAATAGATAAAATAAAATAATCATTTTCCCTATGAGCTTGTTATGTAAAATTGGGTCTTTGTCAAACAACATAACTTCATTTTTCACGGTCTCTTGACGGGACTTTAATTCTTCCTAGCACTTTATTGTTTTCTCAGCCTAACATAAAACACTGCGCCTCAATCTATTAATTTTATTGTTTGCATCTCACATAGTGTTGCTGGGTTCGTTTAGTTAATATTTCCAATTTAAATTTGCCGTTTGGATAAAACAAAAACAAAAAAATCATCGTCTTGAAAAGGGTCGTCGACCTTGCATTTTTATTTCAACATTCCTCGCACAAATTTAATTATCTCCTTTGTAAAGCACCACACTTGCTCAGAAAAGCATTGTGGATTGCTTTTACGTTGATTTCTTTTTAACAAGTATTAGATTTGTATACTCTGTCAAAACCTTATGGCTGGAGATGGTGGGTGAGAGATGAAACTTTCGTCTCGCCACTTCATAACAGACCTGTCTTGCCTGGTAGGACATTCTAGGAACTGTATTCCCGACGGCATAGCTCTGAGGTCACTGGAACACGTACGCTTTCACACACAAGTTACTGCTTACGTTAAAAGTAGTTAAAATGAACCCAACATGTTTCACTTTAAATGTGCCAATAATTTTGTCAAATATGAGGACGATAGTCCACTGTGGCTAAAATCCGAATACGTTCCAAAAATTTAATTGTGGACAACCTTGGGCATCTGGGTCAGTACCCCCTTTAAACCTAAATAAAATATGTTCTTTTTACTTGTTTAACCTTTTCTTCACACGTAATAGTTAAAACATTCGCAGTGGACTTTCTTTTCCTCTATTCCGTTTCAATTGATTTGTATTAAATTTCTCACATACCTATGTTCTACCTTTATACCTAGCTGTATCATGAATAATTTATAGCAGCTATTTGTTTATTTCTTTAAAAAAATAGTTTTACTCTTGTTTTTTTCACTGAAAAAGAGTGTTTTTGCCGTCATGTTGAATGTTTTTTTTTTTTTTTTTTTTTTTTTTTTGTTTTTTTTTTTTTTTTTTTTTTTTTTTTTTTTTTTTTTTTATTTTTTTTTTTTTTTTTTTTTTTTTTTTATAAATTTTTTTTTTTTTTTTTTTTTTTTTTTTTTTTTTTTTTTTTTTTTTTTTTTTGTGCGTCTCTTTTTAGGTTTTTCCTTACTTGTTTCGTTAATTTTATTTAGCGATAGCAGTGAGAGGTAGTCATTTGTACATCTATAAAGATCCTTGAAAAAACTTCGTTTCAAAATTTAATTTCTTATTAAAGCAGTTTTATTTATTGGAATCCTAGCAAGAATATTTTATTTTCATTCTTCGTTGTTATTTTTTTATTCATTTGGGTGTTATAAAAAGTTTCCCATAAATGCAGTTTATACCAATGTGATTATTTGATAGACCTGGTGTTATGACTAAAATAATTTAAGTAACTTTTTGGCACAGCCTAACCTAGCGACAAAATTATTTTTGATAGTCTTTGAATTTCGATATAAAATGATAAGGATTCCTTCAAATAGTCTTCGAGAAAATAGTAAATTAAGTTGTCATGTTTTATATTTTTTTATGATGTTTACACTTTCGATCATCGTTTGGAATAGCCAATCTGCCACATTTTTGACTTAAAAAAGGTCTCGAGAAATTTTACAATGTTTAGTGCATAATGTTGGAATTAATCTTTTACATTTTATTAATCTAAGTCTTTTTCATTGCCAATCAATGCGCCGCAACATGTGTAAAAATATACAAACTAATTATTCTATCGAGTTCCATTAGTTGTTATGTAATTATCAGTAGCTCAAAAATATTTCTTACCTAATAGTCTGCTCGTTTTGACTTAAACAAAATATACAGTCCTTGTAATATGCACTTGCCTTTGAATATAAATTGTCCCTTCTATTTATACTGAACATTTTATCTGCCTCAAAATTATTGTTCTCCATTTCTGAATACTTTGCAAAGACTCAAACAAGCGGTGGATTTAAAAATCATTATTGACTCCGTTGGACAGATTAAATACCATATTTAAAAAATTAGTTGATTCATATTATATTTATGAGTAACATACCCTCCATTGACTAACAATGTATTGTTACATGTATTTCATTGCAATTGAGGGCAACATTATATATAACTATGTTGAGACTGTATGGAAAAACATGTCATGTGTCTCTTTTGCTGGCAAGTTTCAATAAGCACATATGTAACATATGTCCTAATACCATGCTCACATACCCAGAATAATCAAAATACACCACTCACTGTGAAATCAAGGTTGCATTGGTAATATGTCCCCAAAAGCTGGTGATGTATAGTGATTGAATGGTAATTATAACACCTTAAGGGCTTATACAAGACTTATCAATATAATGATTTCAGATTTTCTGGATCCTGTGATTTCCTCGCACTTTGAAACGAGATATTACTTCAATATTTTCATCCCGATTAATCTGATGTAGACGTCATTGCATGTATTTCACTTGATACATATAACACTGCAAAAGCTGTTTCTTAATCCTCTTTACATGATAAATCTAAATATGAAAACAAATTACTGATTTACTTCATTACACATGCTTATATTTTGCGCTTGCTCATGAGCTTAGCAACATTTCTATAGTTACCACTACTAATTAAACAAAATTGGAAAGAAAGCCTCGCAATATTTAATAGCAATTTAATTATTACAAAAACGAAATCTTAGGAAGCTGTCAAAATATACACTTACAAATATACAATGGGAATATTCCGTAAATTTACGTATGTGCTGGTAAAACTTTATAATATTTCCAATATACAAGCATGCTGAGCATGTTATAGTTTTTTATCATACAAATTATAATTTAATCTACAAATGTTTTCAATCGAGAATCTAAAGTTTGATTATCTCCTTAAAATAATATAATTATAAAAATGTATTGTTATAATTTAACATGTTAAAAAATTAAAACCAGAATAACATTAATTTTTATTTCTTATGCTTATTCACAGAAAAAATTATTGTTTTCTTCTTTTTTTCTATTTTGTTCCTATACTTTTTTACACGTGATTCCAATTCAATCTTCCCGATGAGTTTCTCACATACTTTTTTGCATATGTTTAAAAATGATATTAATACTTATCTAATATGTGTTGACTTCATATGGATTCAAAATATATATAATTTTAAACATATAATTCATGTAGCTTTCATCAGAATATGAATTAAAACAAGGACACATCAGCTACACACACCAGCAAAATTTGACGACACTCTATTACAAAACAACGTGTACTTTGGTTGTATCTGCTGCCATCTTAGGACCTGGATCTCACATGTTCCATGTTGTCATGTATCCAAACATCACATCAGATATAACAGAGGACATGCAGAGGAGAAGTCAATACACGAGTTCAATTTACTTAGGTAAATAGTCATTACTTTTTATATTGCTTTCTGTGTCTCAAATATTTGGTAAAATTTTTAATATTATGTATACTAAAACGATGCTTGTGTATAGTTTCACTTGCTTTTGGGTGTCTTTTGTTTCATCCTCTTTCCAGTTAAAAAAAAAATAAATAACAAAAAAAGATTTTGATTGTATTGTTTACGATTAAGCAAAACACCAAATGTATACGACAGATCTAGTACTTAAGATAGTTGTTACAACTTCTACACTTGTGTAACTGCAGAAAATATCTAAAATAACTGTTACGCACTGACTTGTATTGGGAGAAATTAATCTCCTATTTTAATTTTAATTGGCTCGTTGAAAACAGTGCCTAACAAAGGACGATACCATAGAATCAACAATATTAAAGATACGACCCAAAACAGTTTCTAGTTACAATTAATTAAGATTTATTACGTCTTAAGATAATTACAAAATAAAATAAAATAAAATTACAATCTTCAACTTACAGTATGGCAGTGTACACAGTTAATACAATTAGAAATAATGATGCCAATAAATAATGCGAAATAAACACATATAAGTAGGAGCACACAAATACACAAAGAATAAAACACGCCTCGTAATTGTTAAGAGAATCTATCTCAAAAAAAATTCTCTCCCGTCGTGCCTGTCAATCCCTTATATATATGTAGAGTAAGATGCTTCGAGAAGGGCTTATGACGTGTTGTTTACATATCTCGGGTTAAGGAGTATATTCCAGAAATTACCCGAAAACAATCTACCCAATGCGTAATTGGAAGCCGATTGTAAACAAGCTACTTCAAAGACCTAAGCCACACCCCATTGTGAACACAGCGTCTCATGCGGGGTCAATCAGAGGGCACGCACGAGAAATATTATGTAAACAAGCTCCCCATAACATAACAAATTATAAAAGTGTATAAGGATTACCTGTAAACACTTTTATAAGGGCAATAAACAATGTTACTGTATATAACCTGTAACATATACTGTATGTGGTAACCTTTGTATGGATGGAGGCGCTTGCGGTTCCATAAGGCTACTCATGCAATGTTAACTAATACTGTGGGTTCAATGTAAGCGATAGCTTGCCGCTACTAATTTACAAACTTATTCCACTCCAAAAATAAACTGTCTCTTTCTCTCTCTTAAGAAGCAACACTGTCCAAATGAATAATATACACAGCACGTCATTACATTTACTAAATAAATAAATAATTCCTTGATATCAGGATATCTCTACAACAAACAAAGTTGCCATGCAAAGAAAAAATATACACACACATTCAATAATACCCCATCTAATTTTAATTCAATAATCCATTAGAAACATTCAACATGTCCTCTCACATTTAAGACATCTAGTTCACCCCTGCTCTATTTAAAAACATGCATTCTCCCTAAACAATATCCCCTGGCGCCTAACATTCTAGCTACACCTCTCTTCAAGTGAGGCTTGTTGGGTGGTAAAACACGATGTCACTTTTTCTTTATGTGGACAGGCAGGATTGATTTTCTGACAAATGCAGCATTTCTATTGTTAATTGAAGATTGGCCTAAATGTTGGCAAGTCTATGATAGCACAAACACTGGATACTCCACTTGGTAGTGTATTTTTCAGCTTTGATATTAGCTACTCCACTAGATAGGCTGTCACAAATGAATGGGGTGGGAGTACAGGGCAGAGCTCCGTTGTTGTTAAGGTAACTTATAAGATGGGTGGAAGTTAATGTTATTTTAGGGAAGGCATTTTTTAGGGTATTAAGTTAAATTTAATTGAATCTTACATCTTGAGATAGAGGGGGGGGGGGGATGGTTCCTTCAAAAATATTATGTTTGAGCTTGCCAGACTTTGTATGATAATTTAAGGGTTAATAAAAGGAAGTTCTAATTGACCAAAAATTAAGGGGCAGTGGTTTGTTTATAGATAACATTCCTCAGCCATCTATAGACCTAGAGAATAGCATATAAGACAGAAATTTTAATGACAAGAGGGTAGTTGAGGTAGAGAACACGATTCAGTCTTTAAATCCTTCATGGAAAAGGATGGAGTGGTTCTTCCTGCACTGAGTGCTCCCAAACGGCTCATTGACTTGGCTTTCAATTGTTGTTATTACACAGGAGCTGAATGTTCTTAAAATGGAATTTACAAAGCAATGGGCAACTTGCCAGTGTTGCCAATGACATTTTTAGGGCATTCTGCGCACAATTTTAGTTATTTTTTAAGAGAAACCTCCGCCATTTACCAATTGTCCAAATAAGTCATGGACTGACGTACATGTAAGTATACTAAAGCCATTGCAAATCTACAATAATAATTTGGTCACAGGTCACAAGTTTGAAGACTTCAAAACTCACAGAGCAATTTTTCAAATGTTGCTGAAGGTTTCTTCTTAAATGTTGAACCCCCACTCCCTTCCGGGCCAGTGCAAATGAAGCCGATTAATCTTCAGTGCAATTCTAAAGTCAAGGTCAAGATCACGGACGTGAATGGTATGCTTGTTTGTTTATCCATTCACGTCCGTGATCTTGTTTGTTTATAACAATCTAGGAGAGCATTGACCTCCATCTTCCCTGAGAAATTAAGATTGTTTAAGTGGACCATGTACCTATTTTTGGGAGTACCTATCTGTGTCAAAAGCTCAAAGTATTGTGAGAGACTGCAGTCAGGTTAGCACAATATAAAATGAGTAAAAGAGAGTAGAGTTAAATCTAAAAAAAATGTAACAACGAAAATATTGGTAGAAAGCCTTCGTCAGCGAACAAAATTACAGAAAAAACGGTATAAATGTAAAAGATAAAAATTAAAGAAGCACTTAGCTTAGAAGTAGTATCCGTGGGCAGCAAAAGAAATGTGACCGAAAGTAAGTGAGGGAGATATTAAATAGGGAAAAGGAAAACAAGAGAAGAAGCAAGTCCCCTACAATAGGTTGGAACGTGCAGGGGCAAGCCAGGTTCAAGCTGTGAAAAGAGACATGCCATTCATCCCATGTGGCGGCAATGTGCCATAAATCAGGATAAGCCTGTGTTCCAAATTCACCCGTTTTGGTGTGTTCGTGCTAGCCAAGATCTTACTTATTGAAAAGTCCGTCTTGCCCTAGTGCTCGCTACTATTGAAGTGTTTGGAGACGGGAAACTGCTTATCTTGTGTAATGTTACGGAGGCGCTGCTTGGTACACCTTGTTGAGTGTAAGCGTCCAGTCTCACCTATGTACGTCATCTGGCAGTGGTTGTAGACAAAGGCCTAGACAACATTGCGGCTTGTAAAGAGAAAAAAAAGTCGCGAATCTGACAACTTCCCTTAGGAAAACGTATGTTTATAGTTTGGATGAAAATAGGGCAAGTGTTCCAACGGCTGCATCTACATGGCTTGGTCCAAAGTGGGAGGGGGAAGCATTGAAATGACTGCGTACAAGGAGGTCTCTCAGATTTTTATCCCCTCTGAAAAAAATAAGGGGGTCCGGGTAGGAGCTTCCTCGAGCTGAGGAGAAAAAATCGTTTTCAGCTTTGTTTTGTTCCTGACATTATTCCTAAGGACCTATGAGATAAACTAGTTTTTCCTTTAACTAATAATCCAAAGAATAATGTGACAGCCTCAAAATGCACTGCCTTGCCGCCACCGAATCACTATGTGTAATGGTTTAGCCAGACTAACTGATCGCTATTTATACTTTCCCATTCCACGGCCAAGCCCCCCGATTTCCTGTCTGCCATCCCCAAAACTCACCCCTGCTGCTTCCCTTCCCCTGCCACAGAATTCAGCTCAGAATGATAAATTTCAGGATGAGGTAGGTAAAGTGAGTGACACAGACGGCTTCAGTGCGACTTAAAAAAAAACGAAGGATCGTGGGTGCATCACGGGGGCCCCCTTCCTTTCGGGGCCTTACGTGGATCCATAGTCAGTGTATGCTTAGAACGGGCCTGAATTCACCAGAGACTATTATTTTTTGGAACTGTTAAAAAAAGAAAAAATAGTCGTTTTTAATTTTCAAAAATATATAATCGTTCTATGTTCTTACCCACTTTGCTCACGTAAGAGGGCACTTCATTATTCCCCGTGGGTGGGGGGCAGTGCCCCCGGATAGATGCCTGAAAGAAACCCTGCTTTTAGTCGAAGCATAGTCACTCAAATGGAATCGAAATATTCAACCTATATTAAAATACAATTCAACAGTTATTATCAAATTATTATTTTTTTACCTGATGTGTCAAAAAAGAAAGTCATAACTATGCATTAAGTTGACATTGGCAATGAAGTAGAGTCCGACCGAAACCGAAGCAAGGCCGAAATTTAAAAAAAAACTTTTGTCCGAAACCGACGCCGAAACCAAAACTCAACGAGACTTTAAGCCGAAACCAAAGCCGAGGCACAAAATGAAATATTTAGTGATTTTGAAATTTTTTTACGAATACATTCGTATTAAAACAATTATAGGGGAAAGTATCAATATTTACATTCTTTTTTTATAAAAATGAGATCATCGTGAATATTAATAAATAAACATTTCATAAATACTTTGGGATTCACCATTTACAATTAAAAGTAATTAAAATTACTTTAAAAATATGTTTAAAGTAGTATGGTTAGAGAAAATTGGGATTGAGGCAAGTGGTGGGGGGCATCCAAATAGACTTTTGATTGATGAAGTTAACAGGTCTACAATAGGCCTACTACATAATTATAATACGAACCTGTGATACATTCACACACGTATTTCTTGACCTAACACTGTTTATGAATATGATAATAAAAAGTTTCAAGATAAAAATGAATTGAATAAACCTAGTGTTCAAAATGTTATTTAAAAACAAAAAAATACTTTTTTAAGAAAAAAAAAGAAAAAAATAGTGATTTAAATATTACTATTACATTAGTTTTTCTTCCAATAAACTGTTTACATTAATTAAAATTTATTTTTTGTAATTAAAGAAAAGTAAGTCATCATGTAACTGTGAACAGTTTTCGCAAAGTATAAGTCATATAACATACGATGACATCAAGATGTCGAGCAATAATGAATATCGGATTGCCAGCCCTCAGACAGTCTGACCTCTGGTAGTTCTTCTTCTATATCTTAAGGGCCCACGATCAATTTATTGATCATTTTGGCTCCTATGCATGTAGATGGGATTTGCAATGTTTCTGTTACTGGTGGTGATGAGGAAATTATGCACTAGGGGTTTGAAGGCTTGAGGCAATAGACACAAATGTGTCTAGTGTTGTCGCCTCAACTGTTCCTTTTGAAAGATGGTTCCAGTCCCTGATTGTCTTGGGCAGGAATGAGCAGCTCCTATACTGGCTTCTTGCTGGTATGAGCCTGAATTGCCTGTCATGGCCTCGTCGCTGTCTATGGGGGAGAGGGACGAGTTTCTGTTTAATACTGGAACAGTGGACCAGCCCATTATTTATCTTGTACATCATGGAGAGCCTGGATTGTCGTCGTCGTTTCTCCAATGGTGACCAGCCTAGTGTTTCTAGCATGCTGCCAACACTAGAGGTATTCCTGTAGCGGTTTAGGACAAAGCGTGCTGCTCGTCGCTGGACCGCCTCCAACCTGTCAATGCTCTTCTGGGTAAATGGGTCCCAGACTGAAGATGCATAATCTAAAATCGGACGGATAAAGGCTTTATATGCTCTTTCTTTCACACAGGAGTTGCCAATCTTTAGATTTCGCCTTAAGAACCCCAAGGCTTGGTTTGCTTGGTTACATACATTGTTAATATGCTCGTCCCAGCGGACCTCTCTTTGAATGGTAACACCCAGGTACTTTACGGAGGAAACTTGCTCAAGAATATGGCCGTGCAGTTTGTATTGGTAGTGTAGAGGAGTACAACTTCTAGAGATTGATAGTGTCTGGCACTTGGCAGGGTGAAATTCCATGTCCCAGCTCATCTCCCACTCAGCTAACAGATTGAGATCCTGTTGTAGCTGGTCCTGGTCAGATCTGTTGGCGATCGTCCTATACACTGCTGTGTCATCTGCAAACAGTCTTGCCTGTGATGTCAGTTTCTCCGGTAGGTCATTAATGTATGCTAGGAACAAACAGGGGCCCAGGACTGATCCCTGGGGGACCCCTGACTTCACATTGACAAAGGAGGAGCTTGTACCGCCCACCACTACTGCTTGGCGTCGGTGGCTGAGGAAGCTAGAGATCCATGTTTTAGTGGTGCCTTGAATCCCATATATCTGGAGTTTGTGTAGAAGCAAACTATGATTCACCCGGTCAAATGCTTTTGCGAAGTCCATTACTAGCACGTCAGTCTGCTTGTGGTTCTCCAGATTGGTCATCAAGTCTTCTACAAATTCGAGAAGCTGGGTCTCACATGACCTATTGACTCGGAAGCCATGTTGACAGTCATTGAGTATATTTTGGCTTTCAAGATGCTTCATGACAGAGCTTACGATTATGTGCTCCAACAGTTTGCAGACGACGCTAGTGAGGGATATCGGACGATAGTTGGCAGGGTCGGAATGCTCCCCTTTCTTGTAAATTGGAGTGACATGCGCTGTTCTCCAGTCTGCTGGAACATTTCCTGTGCATAGTGACGATTGGAAGAGGATTGTCAGTGCAGGAGCGATTTCTTTGGCTAATTCTTTGAGCACTCGTGGTTTAATGTGGTCAGGACCACATGCTTTGTAAGGATTAATGGTATTGAGGAGGGCAAACACACCTTGTTCTGATATCTGGATATCTCCCATGATAGGATAGGCTCTGTTCATCATTTTGGTTTTCAGAAGGAACTCAGTCTCAGAGTACTCTCTACCGTCACCAAAGACCGACTGGAACTGCTGATTGAGTATCTCCGCCTGTGCTTTTGGGTCAGATGTCAATTGGCCATCCCACCTCAAGGGGGAAACTCCAGCGTTTGAGGACTTTTGGTGTTTCACATAGCTCCAGAAGCGCTTGTTCTTGACATCTTTGGTCGGGGTGTCTTCCTCTGAGAAGATGCCGTTCATGTAGTTCCAATACGATCTACGCAATAAGCGTTGAATGGTTCGGCGGAGTCTCAGTACCTCCTCTCTCAGTTCCATCGAGCCATTTTTCTTCATGCGTTTGTATTGGCGGTCTCTCCTGTGGATGAGCCTACGGATTTCAGCCGTGACCCATGGCTGATTTATCCTAGGTTTGGTGATTTGGTGTGGTATAAATTTCTTCACTGCATCAGTGATTGTAGTCTTGAACTTCACCCACAGCTCGTCTGTTGTCGCTGTACCTTGAATCACCTTCATGTTTGAGCTTAGCTCTGTGGTTGCAATCCTTAGGCCATCCCAGTCTGCCTTGGCATAAATTAGTTGACCGATAGCATCAGTCAGTTTCGGCCAGATGGCCAAATGTCTCAATCACTTTTGATCGAAACCGAAATTAAACTGAAAGTTACATTTTCTGTTTTGAGCGAAGCAGAAATTACAATAAAATTTAACTTTTCGGTTCAACCGAAACCAAAATTACACCAAAAATGTATCAAATTATGGCAATTTTCGGCACCGAAACTGAAACCCAAGCCAAAATTCGGTCTACAATGTTCAACTGGCCACGCAACACTACTTTAGGACAGGAGCGTAACTGCGTTTTTGAGGCCTTTGTATAATTTTATTTGGCGCCCTTTTGTTTAAATAAAAATGTAAAAATTAGAGATTTAGCGGCACACTTTTGAACTGGCGCAAGCTTGCGCCCTTAGCAATGCCACAATGCCAAGCCATTGTTACGCCACTGCTTTAGGGTCAATTAGAAAAAGTTTGACCTAATCCGATCTAAAATTAACTGCATGATTGGATATGAAATCACTGAACCGATCTCTAGTAACTCTAGGCCTTCGTGTATTTTAGTAAAAAAGGTTGAAAAAAGTTATAGTTTTTGCGCTGATTTCACGAAAGTGAATACCTTTAAAAAGTGTGACACCTTTCCTATTTCAAGGACAGACGATCTAATTGATTGAGAAGTAGATGCTAATTTTAAAACAAGATAGACCAATTATCTGGGTTATGGAATGTTCCCACCTCTGAGATAACAAAATAAATCTCTGCGTCCTGTAGTTCAAATTATATCATTTTCTTAGTTATTTTTTTTTACAAATAAATAAATAACTTTGTTTTTAACAAATGCCTGCAGTTAAATGCAATGTAAACTTATAGAAGTGTGATTTTTGTCTTGCAACAACGTAATTTTTTTTATGCTGCTAATTTCTGGTTCTGATAGACGACGTTGCTGCATCAAAGTACTGGCATATATGCTACGATTTGGGTAACGATGCGGCTATCCTAACGGCTTCTAATGGATGTCTGGGCAGCCTTGACAATTTCGATTGTGTTCGAGTCTACGGTGGCATTGTCTAGGTTGTTCAAAGCAATTATTGTTCGTGGGAAGAATGATTGTTTATATTGAAATGTGTTACACCGCAACAGTATATATCGGCATCCTTCCGTCTCGTGAGACGATTGTGCATCACCGTTGGGTTGGGTTGCATTTCTCGAGTGGCTGTGCAGTCCTATCCTTGAGTGACAGTCTTTACCACAGTTTTTACACACGAGTTCCTCGCTTCTAAATGTTTTGGCCTATCTCCTAGCTCTTCTGTCTGCAGCCTCTTCCATTCTTCGCCCCTCGGCTACCATGACGCCCTCTTTGACAACTGTGCGCCACGTAGATCGGTCTTTTGCCTTACACTCCCAGTCACTTGTATGTATTGTGGCTGCTTTCATGACCCTTTGACAGACATCTTTAAATCGCAGACGTGGGCGACCTGTTTTCCTCTTTCCCGAAGCAAGTGCACCATATAGGAGGTCTTTCGGAATGCGGCCGGGACTCATTCTTTTAACATGACCTAGCCATCTCAGGCGTCTTTCACTAAGGATAGTGAACATGCTTTGGGTATTCGCACGCATTAGGACCTCACTATTAGTCACTTTTTCTTGCCATTTAATACCAAGGATGCGACAAAGGCATCTCATATGGGAGCTATTAAGCTTGCGCTCTTGGGATGTATAGGTGGTCCATGTCTCGCTCCCGTATAGTAGTGTACTGATGACACAAGCTAGATAGACGCACAGTTTGGTTTTCTCCGTTAGCTTGGTGTTTTTGCCAGACCCGTTTATTTAGTTTAGCCATTGTGGCAGCTGCCTTGCCGATTCTGCTGTTAATTTCTTCTTCAATGGAGAGTGTATTGGAGCCCTTGGATCCCAAGTAGGTGAAGCTGTCCACTACCTCCAAGTTTTCATTATCGACTTTTATGTTAGGTGGAGATCGAGTGTTTTGGGCCATGATGTTTGTCTTTTTTAAGCTGATTTGCAGACCAAATTCTTTGCAGGCATTGGAAAAGCTTGACACGAGTTGTTGCAAACCAATTTCTGTGTGTGCCGCATCATACGCAAATAGTAGCTCGCGAATTAGGACATCTGTCGTTTTGGTCTTGGCTCGGAGGCGGGCAGTGTTGAAAAGTACTCCATCAGCTCTGGTGTGTAACCAGATTCCCTCACTGCTATCCTTGAATGCGTATCGAAGAAGTACAGAGAAGAATATTGCGAACAGTGTTGGTGCGAGTACACATCCTTGTTTAACTCCGCTGCTGACTGGAAAGGCTTCTGACTTGGCTCCATCGAACTGCACTGTACCCTGCATATTTTCATGGAACTCTCTGATGATGGCAAGTAGGTAAGGGGGACAGCCGATTTTTGCCAGAATTTGGAATAGCTCTTTGCGACTGACGTAATCAAAGGCTTTTTAGAAGGTCCACAAAGGCAATGTACAGTGGCATCTGCTGCTCTCTGCATTTTTCCTGCAGCTGTCGTATGGAGAACACCATGTCTATGGTAGACCGCCCAGACCGGAAACCGCACTGAGATTCTGGATAGACACGGGATGCTAGACTCTGTAAACGTGTTAGTATGACATGGGCAAAGGCCTTTCCTGCAATACTAAGGAGTGAAATGCCGCGATAATTATTGCAATCACTCCTATCACCTTTGTTTTTATATAGTGTCACTATATTTGCATCCTTTAGGTCTGGGGGGATGTAGCCCTGTTCCCAGCAGAGGGACAGAATCTCGTGCAATGGTTGGAGTAAAGCTATCTTACCACTCTTTAGAGCCTCTGGTGGTATTCCATCATCCCCAGGCGCTTTTCCACAAGCTAGGCTATCAATAGCTTTGCTCAGCTCTTCCTGTGAGGGCACGACATCAAGTTCTTCCATGAGTGGCATATCTGGGATGTCATCTAGAGCGGTGCTGGAGACTGTGGTAACTGTTGAATACAATTCCAGATAATGCTCAACCCACCGTTTTAGCTGTGCTGCACGGTCTTGGATAATTTCTCCATTTTTGGACTTTAGAGGAGCAACTTTAGACGTCAAGGAGCCAGTTGCCTTTTTGATGTTTTTGATCTGCAGCTGACTGTATGCTGGAACAGAGGTTAAGCCAGTAGGTATTGGCACAATTACGTGCAACCTTTTGGGAAAGTGACTTGGCTGTTTTTAAGGCATGCAACCTGTCGGGTCTAGGCTTTTTCTTGTAAGCCGTAAGAGCTTTCCTTTTGGCTTCAGTGACAGGTTTAATCTCGTCCCAATATTGATCAAACCAGTCGGTGTTTTTGTGAGATTTTTTGCCAAAGGCCTGTATTGCGGATGTATAGATTGTGTCTCTGAGATGTGACCATTTCGAGTCGATGGTGACGCATGGGGACATCCTTGAGATACCTTCCTTCACCTTGTCTGTGAACAGCTGCGTTAGCGCAGGGTCTTTCATGCAGAAGGTATTGATACGTGGACATCCCTTTTTCTTGGTGTGGTACGAGTTTTTCCTCATTATTCGTACCTTGCTGGCGACAAGGGAGTGATGCGTGTCACAGTCGGCACTGTGATAGCTGCGAGTAAGTAGGATGCTAGCTAGTTGTGCACGCCTGGTGATGATGAGGTCCAGGTGGTGCCATTGGCCGGATCGAGGGTGTCTCCAAGATACTTGATGTATATCCTTGCGCTTGAACTAAGTGTTGGTCACACACAATCCTCCTGAGTAGCACAATTCCAGAAGCCTCTGTCCATTTTCATTAATCTTTCCTCTTCCAAAGAGTCCAAGGCATGTGGGCCAGGCTTCGTGGTCGCTCCCCACTCTAGCATTGAAATCTCCCAGGACGTAGATTGCCTCGTCTTTGTGGATGCTAGCTATTGCCTGGTCTAAAGCTCCATAGAACTGGTCCTTCTCTTCCGGAGTTGAACAGAGAGTTGGGGCATATACACTAAGAATGTTTGCTGGGCCCGCAGCTGTTCTGAGTCTTGGAGTGAGGATCCTCTCCGTACCTGATGGCGGGGGATCAATGAAACCGAAACAGTAAAGCATACATTACATGTTTTTCATAACCAATTTCACATTAAATTTTAACATGATGGTTTTTGAAAAATATACCCCTTCTTCTTTTTTTAAACAAGAGTATTACTTGGACATACAACATATTAAAAGCAAATATAATATTAGTGTTGACAATCGATCCAGAAACGTGTTTAAATGTTCATTGACATTATATAATTGCTTATCTGGAAAGTCATAAAGCTGTGGTTGTGACATGTTTTGTGTAAAATAAATGTATTTTTAAAAATTTTGATGAGAGTTCTTCAATGGAAAAACACATTTCATTTTGAACAATGTATTTAAGAGTAAAATTTGATATACGGTTATTCTCAGGTGTTTTTCGGCAGCCATCTTTAAAGAAATTAAATAAGAAAATGGGGATGTCTTTCAGTCTAATAAAGCGGTATATCATAATTTAGCAATTATTATCTAAAATGTCTTGTAAAGCAAATAATAAAAAAAAATACATTATATCATTTCAAAAGGCATAAAAAACCTTCTAAAACTTCTTCAAAATACAATCTACAATTTGGAAAATGTATTCATGTCACAGTCTTTGCCAGTTCACTGGAACGTAATGGATATATCAAATGCATCCCGGCCAATCACATTAAGTAAAATCATGCTCGGCACCTCTTTACTCTTTGTATCCAGTCCATTGGCTATCTTAAAATCGCAAATAACTGCTTGAATCCATTTAAATGAAAAGCAACATCTGCGGTTAAATCAAGCTGTTGTGGCGGGTTGAGTTGCTTTATATTAAACCATGCAATAGTAGGTTATGATGAAAACTCGTCTGTGTTATGTGTTTCATCTGAACTTTGTAACTCATTATCATTCTTTTTATACCTACCATCACATGATAAATTCCTTAAGTACTCTAACCAATCTTCAAAACTTTATTTTGAAACATTCATGAAAAGAACTCACCACGTCCAATTATAATCCATAATAAGAACAACAGGTCAATCAGATCACAAAGTTCACTCAATAAACTCTAGTAATCTTCACTCGTACATTCTATTACAACATTGTCACGTGAAAAAACTGCTTAGCAAATGCACCAACATAGTAGCAGCTCCTTTTGTCAGCAGTGTAGCACGATGTATGAAAATTTGGAATTTAAAACATGTTTCTTGACATTGGCGCCAACATGCAGCTCTTTTTTTAAACATATTTTTCAATATCGTTGATGGCATCCTAAGCACGGTCTGTCCCGTGCAACTGCCCTAGTTGCCCTTACCCTATTGATGACCTAATTTTTCTTTATAGATGTATTTATTCCAACACCTCTTTCCTCGTTTGTATAAAAATGTCACCGATTCAGTATGTATTGCTCTACCATTGCTCTCCGCCTTTTATTTTGTTTGTTTAAAAAATGGTTGTTTTAAGAAGTTCTTATTTGTTCTGAAGAATGCCATGGTGTGTTTCAATTTTAAGAATTTCTTTTCTCGTGTTTTCTTAAACAAGACTTAAAAATAGATATAGGAGACATTTTATATTTTATTCTTCTTGTTTTCATTTATATTTATCTTTTAGGGATTTATTGAGTTATAATTCAAAATAGTTTTTAAGTCTGTTTATTTCATTTTGTATGTTAATATGCAATTAATTTTAGTATTAAATTATTTTAATTTTAACTAGAAATAATATCGTTATTAAATCTACTTTAAACTCGCACAAACATTATTCTTTTTAATTTTTTGATGTTTTGTGATTCATTAGCGACATAATTTTACAGGGATTTCAAATAATAAGATATGTATAATAAAAAAATTGTTGACATTTTTACCTATTACCGCATACTAAAATGGCATACTTCAGAGCAAAAAATGTATTCAAGAGAAAAACATCTTATTAAAAAGGATAAAATTAACTTTGCTTTAATGTTAATCACTTTTTCTCGAAAATTAATTTAAGTTCTATTAAATCAGGTTATCCTAAGGTTCTTCTTGGAACTGACTGTGAAGTCCATGGCTATATTATGGAAAATAAACAAAGTAACTGCACTTGCTCCGATTTAAGCAACAGTTTTTTGCCAACACAAATTTATTGGTTAGCAAACAAGTCAATTATACTTGAAAAAGAAAAATTGTTTTTTACAGCAACAAGTAAGTTCAACGAAAGAAGATTTTATTTAAATATTTGTATATTTTTAATTTTACTTTCGGATACTTTTTCCTATTTACAAAATTAAAACAATAAAAAGTTAACATTATTTTTAATGTCTTATTTCTATATTTAATTTGCTTAAACATCTATATTTTAATTATAAATCCAATAATTATTTTTTTAGTTTATGCTAAAATTATATGACACATTTCATTAATAACATTTAAATATGATAATTAAATTTGAAATCTCCATTTAAAATTTAGAAACAGGAGATATACATGTTTATTTTTTTCAGGAAAAGACTCGTTTCAGTGTATAATCTCAAATCATTTGAATTGGACGGATCAAGTGGATTTTAAGCCAAATATCTCATGTAAGCTTATGCATTTAAAAAATAATATAAAAATAAACATACGAGTACTTAATCTATATCCTTTATTTTCAATATTAATGTTCCGTCTTTTTTAAATTTAAAAATAATTTGTAACATATTTAATAATAGTAATATATTTTTTATCTAAAAATCAAGTTTAGAAGTAGGGCGATTAATTTTATATTTAAAGACATTTTTTGGACAAAATTCAAAATGTGTCATTTCATTATCTTTTCAAAAATCTTTGCATCTATTTATCTGTATGCTAAATGGAGTTACGTCACAAACTTTATTTTATTTGGTTATTTACGTTTGTATGTTTGTTTACGATTACTAAAACGTAATTAAAACTGTATTATTTACTGTATTTTCAGACCCACCAGACACTTTAACTGTAAATATAACAAAACAAGTTTTTGATTTGTGCAATGATACCAACATCTACATTTCAGGAACGTGTTTTGTTAGTGAAAGCAATCCAGAACCTTCCATGATTGTCAACATAAACAATCTATCAATGGACATTACGTCTTCAAAACGTGAAAGAGAATATGTGTTTAATAAAACTATGACAAATCCTGGGATCTATAACTTTTCTTGCCAGGCAAACAACAAAGATTATTCGAAAAATATATCAATTATAACAAATGTAACTATTAAAGGTAATAATGATGCAAAAAAGGGCTATCCGCTCTATTAGAACTATTTTTTTGTAATTAAAAAAATCAAATTTAAAAGTATTTTATTTATTCTCAGTAAAAATTACACAAATTATATCATGTATACAAACAGGCCCATCAGGTATTCCAAAAATTTTCAAAAATGAAAATGAAGAAAACAAAAGCCAACCTACCAACTTGCTGAAAATTATAAAAGGGGACACAATCACTTGTCAGTCTAAAGGAGGATATCCAATATTAAAGAATATATCTCTAAGATGTGGACCAGAGGAAACCCTTGCAACAAGTAAGTACAATATTTTAATCATAGAAATAATACTTGAGTACATAAAAAAGGAAGAGCAAAATAACACAAGGAGCTTTCATATTTATAAAATTCGTTAACACTTTTACTAAATTGCAAGTAGAAACGTTCTGTAGAGTGTGAAGCTATTTTCCAACAAATGTGGGCTTTGATGTGTTGTCCCCATTGTTTGGTTTACACCAATTTTCATTTCATAAATGAAATATTATTTACAGTTGTCTAACTATTCTCTTATGCTCACTACAGTCCAGTTTAACTACAGTTGCGTATAAACCGAAAAAAACAAAAAAAGCTATTACCTTATCAGTAGAAGTTAACTAATAATTTAATTTGCTAGATACGTATATTAACAAATAATAACATAATATACATTTTATTAATTTTTTGTAAATCATGACATGTCTTCAATATTTAAATTCTAACAATGTACTTACCTCACCCCCATTTACATAGCCCTACACAAATATGTACTATCCACCGATCTCAAATAAATTTACAGTAACGACACTGAACATGTTCTGCACTGTGTCAAATCCAGATATTTGATAGGTTTAATTTATCAGATTCTTCACACGTTCGTACATCGGTATCATCCATCCATGTGGAGCAACAGGTCATGTGGGGCTCTTGGCGGCATCACAATTTTGTACCACTCAGATCCAAATAATGTTGTTTTTTCCATGTTTGGATTTCAAACTTTTCCCCAAGATTCTATTTAAGGCTGGATCTGCTTTTGAGTAATTTTCCTCTGGGAATTTGGTAGTGCACCCTCTTTACACCTCTGTCATTTGGCATTCTCAAAAAGCGCACTGACCAGTGTAGCCTCACTATTTTATTTCTGCTACTAGCATTGGATATAAAGACTTAATTAATTGTTTGGTCTGATTTTCATCCTTTGTCGCTGCATACATTTTTGAAAGAACTTTTCTCTTGCATGCGTTTAATAGGTTTTCTGAGGTATACTCCAAAGTTAACATTTTTCAATTTCCATTAGTAATGAAATTTTAATACATAAATACTCATAAGAGGCTCTACAATTACTTTGACGCATGTAAATCTCTCTATAAGACAAGAAAAAACGTGCATTAATTTTGAAGTTTTTAAAACACCCCAAACCCTGCCCCCCCTCCCCCACCATGAAATCATTATACTTTGCCCAAAAACTACAAATCAAAACACGACAACCCCTTCTAAAATATCAATAATTTTCCAAATTGGTATGTATAGGCTTAATTCTTCTATTGGTGTATCTTAACAATTTGGTAACATATATCAATGGGTGACGCAAATACCCTAAAAAATCAAAGCTTTTTAAAATTATATTTGATTATTTCTTGTATTCAATATATCACCAAAACTAATTTTTGCCTCTAAGTTTACGATCTTATTTTTGCAGTAACAATGCTTGCATCCTTTCGCTTCCTTTCTTATTAATTTTCTAACAATGACAAATTACGATTACTAAAGTTTTTACCTTGTTTGGATTTCTTAAACTATTGTCATCTGTCCTATCAGTTAAGAAAGTTTATTAGCGAAACGTTATTGTCTTATTGTCAAGTTTTTTAATTAAAACTTCCACAAACCATGTTCATCTAGATCCATAGCACAGCTTGATCGCAGTCCTTTATTTATTGTACTGTATTCGCAGCACTAAAATGTTTGAGTTAGGAGTATATTATTTGAATTATATTACTGAATCTTTTTAATATTACATTTTGACGTAAAATGGTTGTGTGTATATTGTCACAGAACGGTTGTTACGGAGGAGGGCTCCGGTCCTGACTTAACACAAACTATGTTGACTTAGTAGTGGTCAGTACAGGACCGCTCCTCTCTGTGATTTATATGGTGGGTGTCTAGGCGTTGAGACAGACAAAAGCACAAAGTAGACTTGGACGAAATGCAACAACTCAAAACTTCTGGTGTCCAACGATAATGAAAGTGTTTATTGGTAAGATATACGTTTTTCCAGTCATCTGTCGTCTTCTTGTCTCTAGCAAGTATTCCCTAACAACTGCTCAGTTCTATCGTAGCTCTTTTCTCTCTCTTCCTCAACTAATCCGTAGTTCTTCTCTATCTTCCTCAACTAACTACTGTCGCTCCTTTCCCTCTTCCTCAACTCGTCGTACCTCTGTTCACTCTCCCTCAACTAACCTAACTCAGTGAAAGCTCCCTCTTATATGTGGTTCTCTACCCCCCATAGGTGGTCCAGGAATGCTATCTATAAACACACCCATGCCCTCTAATTTCCGGTCAATTAGACCTCCCCATTGTTAACCCAGAAATTATCATGCGAAGTCTGGAAAACCCGAACATACTATTATCCAAAGAAACAATCCCCCACTATATCAAGATGTGAGAGTCTATTAACCTTAACTTAACCCCATTAACAGCAGTTTCCTTCCATCCTATATTATATCAAGATGTGAGAGTCTATTAACCTTAACTTAACCCCATTAACAGCAGTTTCCTTCCATCCTATAAGTTACCTAAACAACAATGGAGCTCTGTCCTGTACCCCCGCCCCAGTCATTTGTGACATATGCCCCCCCTTCAAGAAATTTTTCAAAATATTGACAAATTTCAAAAACTCCACAAATGACCAACCTACAACTCTACACATCACACCATCCCATGCGTCAAGCCCTTACTCTGTGCGTCGTCGAGTCTATTGTCATCTATCCTCATCTTCAGTTTTTCAAACAAAATTAAAAATAGCAACACACAACATCATGCATATGTCAATAGTAATTAACGAAATCAATAATTGACCATGACAACATGAACATTGTAACTTAAAGGACTAAACAAACAAACGTATCCAAACATTTTGATCTCTTCTTTAAACGATCTCAATCTCAGAACAAAGTGTGTCTATATCAATCTCAGAACAAAGTGTGTCTAACACGATAACTTATACTACTATCATACTAGCAATTAGACTTATACCTTAAGTCTTAATCTCCTTCTCTGATCCCATGACCCACTGATCAGGTTGAATGACACCCACTTCTAACTCACATACATAGTGCAAACTATAGCTGCCCTCCCCATGCTACCCCACACATTACCCAGTGTGGGAAATAGCTGATCCAACCGTGCTACCCCACACATTACCCAGTGTGGGAAATAGCTGACCTAACCATGCTGTCCGACACATTACCCAGTGTAGGCTACAGCTGACCATCTCAAGCTACTCTACACATTACCCAGTGCAGGTTATAGCTTCCATCCCACGCTATTCTACGCATTATGTAATGAAGGCTTACCATTCACCTAATGCTATCCAAAACCTAACTCTTCATCTAGTGCTGTCATCACACTTCCCTAAGAGTAGACCGCTAACTATCTAATGCTGTCTCACCATCACTAAGTGTAGAACAGCCATACAACTATTACTATCAAATTATGAACCCAACAACACTAATAACCATTATCTTTGACACTCTACAGTCTACACATCGTCTACACCGCAAACCATCATGTGCCCTGCACGGTCTGTTATAGACGAGTACCCGTAATGTCCATAACAAACATCTCTGCCGTTATGACATCACTAACCAACACAACTAGATCTAACTCTAATCCACACACACTGCCATTATCAAGGCCCAGTGTGCCCTGTCCTTAAGACATGACCTCTTACTGCCCACCTGGCTTCTTAACAATAGCCCAGGGGCAGCTACTCGCTCAAATTATTCATCAAGCATAATGTTTAACCCAACCACAACAGTTAAAACACATGATTACACTCATCACTAGCATTACTGTAACTACACAAGTTTTTTTTTTTTTAAATGCACGTGTGAAACCCAAATAAAGGTAACACAGCTAAATTAACTACATTTACTAGTGTCTTAATAACAAGTCTAACGTCTCTTTGAGAAAGCCTCCTTGATGACGATATGGAGATTATCCTCACACTGAACTAAACACTTTTTAACTGTTTATCTGTGCCACCTTCAGATATGCACCGCTCACATCCTAATAGTATGAGTGCTAAAGAACTTTCCCCACTATTACATCATAGACTATGTCGGGAATGCACACTACTTTAATCTTTCCTGAAATATATGGGGTGCTGATCGTGACTATAGCCTTCTCTCCTTTTAGCCTTGCATCATTCAATAGAACAACAGTACATCTCTCTCCAGTCAACTTGCTGTCATCAACTAAGTCTCTCCTAACCACTATATCACTACACAGATAATGTCTAAACACTTTAACCTTTTGGTCTTCAACTGACCCATAGACACTTTCCTTCACTCCGACACCAATAGAAATTCCTCCTATTAGAATTTCATCTTCACTATCATTTCCTTTTTCTTCTTCGTACTTAATTTTACGTGTGCTATTGTTATCCTTCTTTACTAAAGACTTCTCTCTCTTCTCTATACACTTCTTTTCCTGTCCTAATCTGAAACACGTGGATACCGTTTTCACATCTCTGCAACTCGAATTTTTATCTTCCTCCGTGTCACGGACGGCTGGGCAATTTCTCACGACATGCCCCTTTTGGTGACACTTGTAGCAACGCCCCTGAAATTGACACCTCACGGTGGTGTGGCCTGGTCGTAAACAGCTGAAACAGACCCGTGGCCGTTCGCAGTCTCTGGCTAGGTGTCCACTTCCATAACAACGAAAACACCGGCGCACGTTGTAGCAATCTCGAGCCAGATGACCAGTTGAGTAGCATCTGTAACACCGCCGTGCGTTATTGCAGTACCTAGCAATGTGACCTGCACGATGGCACCTGTAGCAAAGTGGTGCGTCACACTGCTTCACTTGGTGGTACATTGCTGGTCTCCAGAAATCCGACTGTCTGCACAACACTGACGTCATGTTTCCCTTCACACCTGTTGAATCCTAGGGACGTCTGTTCTCTACCTCTATTACGTCAGCTTTGTCTATCTCCTGTTGCCTAGACCCCGGAACGAGCCCCCAGATGTCACAGAACGGTTGTTACGGAGGAGGGCTCCGGTCCTGACTTAACACAAACTATGTTGACTTAGTAGTGGTCAGTACAGGACCGCTCCTCTCTGTGATTTATATGGTGGGTGTCTAGGCGTTGAGACAGACAAAAGCACAATTTACGGAGGAGGGCTCCGGTCCTGACTTAA